TCCTCCAGAGGTTGATGAAACAGTCTGGGATCTAAGACTAGGTTTTTTGTTTTTTGTTTTTACGTGTTCAGTGTTTGCTCCAATCTCAACCTTTTTATTTTTACCCGGCATGTTCTCTCATGCTAATTTAAGTTTACTTTCCTAGCTGCTTTCTCTTGCACCTATAAATGATACTAAATGCTTTCTGATGTTTTATCTTTTTTTTTTTTTTTTTTTTCCGTTTTTCGAGATGGGGTTTCTCTGTGTAGTTTTGGTGCCTTTCCTGGAACTCACTCTGTAGCCCAGGCTGGCCTCGAACTCACAGAGATCCTCTTGGCTCTGCCTCCCGAGTGCTGGGATTAAAGGCATGTGCCACCACTGCCCGGCTGATTCTTTATCTTAAGATGGCCCCTGGATGCTGTCCTGCTTGGAGACTTCAATCCAGGAGCGATTCCTGTCCACAGCCTCTACTAACTAACTGCATGGATATTCTAACAGACCGCTATGGGTGAACAAGCTAATGGAGGCAAAGCTTCACTGAGAAAAATCATAAGCACTTTGGCACTACTTGAGGGGAAGTTCTCAAATCTGTAATTACACTTTCTGGAAATATCTGGAGTTCTTCTAATGCAGTTAGATCTTGGTAGGGAAGTGTTATTGGTTGTTTTTTTTACTCTTTTTATTCTTTGACTCTTTGGGGGGCCTGCCACCCAGCTCCCAAATAAATATACTCACTGACTTTTTCTTATTTATAAATGCCTGGCTTTAGTTTGACTTATTTCTAGCCAGCTTTTCTTAAATTATCCCATCTACCTTTTGCCTCTGGGCTTTTATCTTTCTCTATTTTTCTTTATTTAATACCTTTCTTTATTTCTTACTCTGTGGCTTGCTGTGCAGCTGGGTGGCTGGCTCCTTCTTCTATTACTCCTCTACCTCCTTCCCAGATTTTTCCTCCTTTGTATTCTCTCTGCCTGCCAGCTCCTCCTGTCCTTTCTCCTGCCTTGCTATTGACCATTCAGCTCTTTATTAGACCAATCAGGTGTTTCAGACAGGCACAGTAACACAGCTTCACAGTGTTAAACAAATGCAACATAAAAGAATACATTACATCTTTGCATCATTAAACAAATGTTTTACAGCATTAACAAATGTAACACATCTTTAATATTCTACCACAGGGAAGGAAAGACACATGAACCCCCGAGTATGAGCCAGAAAGTGCTAGATAGAAATGTGCCACGGTGAGCTAGAGAGTGTCTATCCTGCACCCGAGCCCACCATGAGGAAGGACTGAGGCTGGGTGGCTCCTGTCAATTATACTTGTATTGATCCAGCACATGTGTGGTGTTCCCATTGTTCTTCACACTGCACTTGGAGCCAAGAGCGAAGTGACTCCGACGGACCAGCCACCTGTTAGGTGCTTTGACTAAGCTGCGTAGTGTGAAAAAAAAATATACAATTGATTGCTGAGAAGTTACAGGAGATATCTAGGGGCATTAAGGCAGGTGTTAGGTGAGATGTCCTGGAGTTAGCTACCTTTGAGCTGAGTCCTCAAAAAAAGTTAAAAAAAAAAAAAAAAAAAACAACCACAGGGCAGTGATGAGAAAAAGCTCCTTTGTACCAGGAACAGAATGAGCAAAGGCCCTGTGGTAGGAGGGAGTATGACCACTGGCCAGAGTTCATAAGGCATGAGGGTTGGAGAGAAGTAGTGGGAGGGAGAGACAGAGGTCAAACTGGGTAAATCATTATAGGATTTGACTCTCTTAAATGAGGGACTGAGAAGCCACTAACAGGTTTTAAATTAGCAGAAACACTATCTGACCGTTGCTTTCAATCATCCCACAGGCACAGCTGTAAACAGGGGTCTCAGGGGCTGAGCTCATCCTTAGGACCCTTTGGGGAAATGGCCAAGTCAATGGCAACACAGGGGCCACATTAACTTTCCTCACTGTGGTAAACACCATAGTAAGGAAAAGGATGAAGGCTAAAAGATTTGTCCTAGGTCTCAGTGAAGAGCCTTCTGTCCATGGTTATTTGATGCTGTTGCTTTGTGGCCTGCGGCAAGGCAGCACCACACAGGGTGTATGACAGAGAAAACAATATACCTCATGGTGGTCAGGAAGTAACAGAGAGATGTGCCAAGCTCCCCAAATGCCCTTCAAAGTCTTGCCCTCAACAACTCACTTCCCACTTTTAGGACCCACCTCCTAAGGGTCCACAGCCTCATAGTGCCACTCTACTTCGTAACCATGTCTTTAGTCTATGGAACCGTGAGACAGATTTAAGTTGTAAACCTGACAGGGTACGTGTAACTCATTCTTATTTCCTTCAGGTAAAATGTTGGGGTGGGAGGTGGAGTGCACAGCGCATGTTTGAAGCTCATAGGACAATCTCAGGTGTTCGGTGTTCCTCATCTTGCCCCTTGTTTGAGAAGGATCTGTTCTTCTTCACTGGTATATATGCCAGGCTCTCAGGTCTGGGATCACCTGGGATTCTCCCACCTTTAGCTCCACTTTCTCCAGAGGAGTACTGGGCTGCACCTGACTCCACATGCATTCTAGGATTGAAACTCAGGTCTGCCTGCCGGTACTACATGGACTTTATCGGTTGAGCCATTTCCCCAGCCCAGGAGGGTGAGTCTTTAAACTAACTCTCCTCTTTCACTCACAAGACTGAATAAAAAGTGTTTTTTTTTTCAAATTTAAGAAAAACTGAATAGTCTTGGCAGTGGCAAAGATTTATAGAGTTACAGTATCTGTCACCCATGTAGTCCTCTAGACAGTGAGTTCCAGGAACACTGAATGCCATTCATCTTACGATGCACAGTCATTCCTAAGGGTCCGTGACTAAATGTCTTAGAAGAGCTGTCTGAGTGACACCACACCACCTCCGAAGAGCTGTCTGATGTGCGCTTGCTCTCCGGTGACATCACAACACTTAGAGGTAACTGACTGACTGTGTGCTCGCTCTCCTGTGACATCACCACACTTAGAGGTAACTGACTGACTGTGTGCTCGCTCTCCTGTGACATCACCACACTTAGAGGTAACTGACTGTGTGCTTGCTCTCCTGTGACATCACCACACTTAGAGGTAACTGTCTGACGTGTGCTTGCTCTCCTGTGACATCACCACACTTAGAGGTAACTGTCTGACTGTGTGCTTGCTCTCCTGTGACATCACCACACTTAGAGGTAACTGACTGACTGTGTGCTCACTCTCCTGTGACATCACCACACTGCAGAACTTGGCTGCTTGGCTTGCTCTCCACAGAACTGCATCCTATTGAGAGTTGTATTCTTTTTTTAACAACCTCTAAAATATTCTTTATTGTTCTATTTGGTAAATAACCTAGAATTGGTGGGCAATTTGTCCTGGGGTGGAGGGTGGGGTGGAACCAGATTCGGCAAGGTCAGATCTGCGTGTGGATTCCTTCTAGATCTTTAATAGAAAGCTAGTGTCCAGTACTGATGAGTGTGCAGGTCTTCACCTGTAAAATAGATGCAGTTTCGCCCTCCCTCCCATCTTTGGGATTTGTGATAACCAATATTCAAGTGAAAGCACTTCCTCTGAAGAAACACACCATCCAGGAAGGAAGGAAAACACATCACTTTGCAAGTTCTTTCTTAGAAAGGTGGGGGACATCATTGTCATACAAATTCCCAGCAAGGAGGAAAAGGGGTTGAGCTCTGGGTGTTTCAGGGAATCTTTACAAGAAAACAGAAATATCTTCACAACCAGTTCCACTTCGCGTCTGACAAACAGATACTTGAGAACATATTAACAGAAGGATTCTGTGTCAGCCCTGAGAATCTTTCCATTCCAGGCTGGACTGGCCCCTCCCTGCTTTTCCAAGGCTCAAAGGTTCCCTGCTTGCTTCTGCTCAGGTGGCCAGTTTGTTCCTGATAGCCTCTGCTGACTGACTCACAGACTCTGTTAGAACTTTGAAACAAACCTGCCTGCTGTGTTAGACTGAAGGGTGTATAGGAACAGGAGCCATGTAGAAAAGATAAGGATATTATTTCACCAATTTAGGAGAAATCCTGTGAGTTGACTGGGAGGCAGCTGGTTTGCTTTGGGTTCCTTTCAGTTTCTCACCGTGAGGACACCGGGACAGTGGGATCGCAGGCAGGGCACCTGGCAAGGCCCCTAAGGTTGGGATCCGGAGAAGGGCCAGTTGGCTCTGGGAGAATCCCGCTCTTCCCTGGTCTTTCCAAACCGCAGCCGGTCCTGTAATTATCCGAACAAGTCCGTCTAAGCTAGGCAAATCACTGGTTTTCCACGAAATAGTTATGTTTCTGATGCCCTCGGACAGATTCACCTCGAAGCCTAAAAACAGAGATTGTTTTTCCCCCCAAAGCTGGGGGAGGGAGGAAAAGTGGAGTCCATACTGTTACAATGAGTGGAAAAGTGGAAAGACAAGAGTTCCGGGGGAGCGTGGGAACACTGAGTTCTGAACCGGGAGTTTCGATGCGCAGAGAACAGGCTGTGTTCAATGTGCTTTTTCTCCGGAGGGGTGCAAGTCGCAAGCTCTTCTCATCTTCCTGAGGACCCGAGCGGCTCGGTTCTGAGAGTCGGTCTCTGCAGCGCCTGGTTGTGGCGGCGAAGGCTCCCCAGTTCCGCCGCTCCCAGCGTCGCCACCCTGCCTGAGCCTGCGGCGCCTCCTCGCGTGCCAGCGCCCCGGGGTGTCTCCTTGCAGGAGCCTGCGGGGGGGGGGAGGGAGCAGGGCGCGACGCGTGGGTCGCGTCGGTCCCAGCCCTGATGGACGGCCGACGCTGCCTCCGGGGCGGGGACAGCTCGGGCCACCGTGCGCATCGCGCACCTATTGCACCCACAGCTCGCGGGCTCCCGGGTGTAGCGGGTCTTGGCCCGTGGGGCCGGCTAGAGAGCAGCGCGACCGTCGTCCCAGCGTCGCCCGCGGGCTGCGGCAGGTGCCTGTCGCACCGGGTCCCCGCGTCCTCCCGCCCCGCCGCCCGGGCGCCGCGCCCGCCCCGCCCCCGTCCCCGCCCGCCCGCGGGCCGCCCCGGGCAGGGCCTGCAGCTGCCGGGCATGGGAGGGCGGCCGGCGGCGGAGGGCGCCTGAGCGCGGCCGAGGGACCGCGCCGTGGCCTCCTGTCGCTGCGCGCTCCGCTCCGGGCTCCTTACAGTTCGTAGCCAAGATCGAGCTGGCTGGCTGCAGGGACCCGGCCCTGTGGCGGCGGCGGCGGCGGCGGCGTGGTACTCTCTCGCTGTCCAGTTGAATTAGTGGTGCTGTCCCCCGCGCGATGCGCTGAGGGAGCCCAGATCCCTATACCAGCGTCGCTGCTGCGCCCCGAGTCGCCGACCCCATGGGACCAGCGGGCACCACGCGCAGCGTGCGGGCGCCACCGTCTCGCCTGCTGTTGCTGCTACTGTTTCTGCAGGTGGCAGTGCCGGCGGGCGCGCTGGCCGAGACCCTGCTGGACGCACCCGGGGCCAGGGGTGCCAGCTCCAACCCGCCAAGCCCAGCCAGCGTGGTGGCCCCGGGAACGACGCCGTTCGAGGAAAGTCGGTTGCCCGTGTTCACCTTGGATTACCCCCACGTGCAAATCCCTTTCGAGATCACGCTGTGGATACTACTGGCTTCGTTGGCCAAGATTGGTAAGCGAGCTGTACCCGTGGGTGGGGGCGGGGACGATCGTGCTGGGGTTCCTGGTGGGTAACCCGCCAAGTAGGCAAGTAGTTGGTCTCAGATAGTGGCCACCTCCTGTACCAAGGCAGCCTTGGGTAGATAGATTAGTTTCTGCAGATTGAAAGATCTCCTGTTCTTAATTTGACACTGGCCTTGGAAAGCCCGGGGAATACTGACTGGCCCATGGTATAGGGACTCACTGCTGACTTCTACTTGGAACTTCAAGTTTAACAGCTCTGGGGCAAAGTTGATGGAGACCTGTGTGCTGAGGGAGGCAGTGGGCAGGGTGAATTGTATATTATCTCCAAGTAGAGGGGGGAGAAGAGGAGGAAGCTAGCACTGGACAAGATGTTGATGGGAGAGGGTGCCTTGGCCAGACACAGACCCTCCCCGTGTCCCTGACTGATGAAAGGCTTACCCGGACAGTGGACACCTGAGTGTATGGAGCTGCAACACCAGTGCCCTCTTCCTTCTCTCTGGACCTGTCACTATCTAGAAAGCCTTTTCTTTAGAGGTAACTGAAGCCAGTGAGATCAGATATTCACAAATAATTAACCCACTTACCCCACCATCCCTACTTCTTAAGATGAAAGTGAAAAACTCAGCACCTATTTTCTCATCTCTTTTCACCTTGCCCACTCCTTCCTAACGCTTACTCGCAGTTTTACTCTGTATTAAAGTATATTAACTATTGCTGCACTGTTAAAAAAAGTATAAGGTTAAAAGGGCAGAGTGTCTCCTGGGTTTTCTGCAATCGCCTTGTGGGATGATGCAGTTTTTCATTCCTCCCTGCCGTTGGAGGGAACTCACTGATGAATGGGGAGAAGCACCAGTGGTTACAATACAGGAAGTGCCCGACGGATACAGACTGTGTTTCCAAGGTTAACCAGAGTCTGGCCAGTGGGAGCTGTTCACTAGAAACCGCATTCTAGAGAGAAATGAAAGGCGTGGAGAGAAAAGGGGTGGTCCAAGCAGGCGGCGGGGACTGTGTATAACTGTATGGAATTTGCAAGCTAAGCCTGAAATTGACTTCCCAGGTTAGATTAAATCCATTAGCCTATAATGGTGGTTAGCAAAGCTGTCCTATACTATGTAATGACTTTGCAGTCTGGAATTGCTGGCCCTGGCATGACTCGCCTGAGCGATGGTATAAGGAACATGGACTTCCCTCTCAAACAGCCACATAAGCTCATGGCCTCTAATAATAGCCTGAGATGCTGTCTCTTCACATAGCCCTCACAGCATCCCTGCCCTGTAGGGAGCGCAGGTGTGAATACTATCACTGGAGAGAGGTGGAAACCAAAGCTGGAAAGTTCACACTACGAACCACCAAGTCAGCTGCGCCAAATGTAGACAGGGAGATTGGCTCTGGGTACCTCCCTCTGCCTGAGTCAGAGCCTCTGGAGGGGTGCGTTTGTGCCTGAGCCCATTACTGCTTTTCTCCTCTAACCCCCTCTTCTGGTCTTCACTCCTGATTATTTTAATCAGATTAATTACACTAATAACAGCCGCTAGTGGGCACTTAAGTTCATTATCCCTCATTTTCGCAGCCTTCATCCTGGGTAGATATGATGGCCCTGCTTTGGAGAGGAGGGAGCTGAGACAGGAGGAAGCCTTGCTTGATGGGTGGAGAGACCAAGTTCCAGCCAGGCCCTCCTGGTGTCTCATCTTTGGATACTCCCTGGAGGCTTGTTGTAGTGTGAGGATTAGGCGAGAATGGGTTTGTCCATTATTCCTAGGACAGTGAGGCAGGCATGTAGGTGGTGACAGTGAGGTCCTGAGAGCAGCTGCAGCAGCTGTCCAGTTCCTGTCAATTCAGTTGTTTTTGCACTCTCTTCTGCGCCTCTGAGTTTCTTGCCCTCTGTCATAACCCCAGAGCTCTTCTTCTGCCTTTTGGTGCCTTATCGCCCCAGCTGTGGTATTCTATTCATCTTAATGGACATCATCCTCTTAATTGTGTGGTATTTGGTTCAAAAGCGTGCATGCTTGTGTGAGTCAACGTTCAAAGGCACCTTTATGTGTCTGTGAACCATGTTCTTAGCTCAGTGCATGGAATTCCCTGGCTCTCTCCTATTTCAGGGGCCGCTATTCCTGCCTTCCCGGAGCTGGGTTTGACCACAGTCATTATATATCACACTCGTCTTCTCCCAATTCGTTTGTCCTTCTTGAACTCTGTACTTCTCTGGCCACTGGGACAGTGGAGAGAGGAGAACACAGGTATTCTTGTCTCCTTCCCAGACAGAGGTCCAAGTAGCCAGGTGCTGATTCCCTGAAGCGAAGGAAGTAGGTCCCAGGACAGGAAGTGGGGTTTTCAAGTTCTAAAAACTGTTGGTTGGAGTCCTTCACTATGTTCTTCCTGTTTTATAACCCAGTCCTCTCTTGCCTCTTTGGCTGCTTCTGGAGGGATGCACAAATACCTGGATAAACTCAAGTCTCCTTCCCAGATACTCGAAAGTCTTTCTCCGCATCCCTCCCCTAGATCCTTAACTCTCTCTTTGGCTTTGAACAAGATTGTCCTGGTGCTGCAGAACACTTTCACAGGCCAGGGAAGGAAGTTCTGAAACAGAAACTGTGGAGCTTCATATTAAATGTTTACACTTTATGTATGGAATATACTTTATGGTTTATCTATCACCCCAAACAAAAATATCCATGGCAGAATTAGAAGTAGAAAGGCATTAGCCTTTTCATAGCTTCCTAGTTTCAAATGTCAATTCTAACTGCATATAAGTTCACTAAGTTTGGGTCTGGTTAATGTTAGTATGTGATGTTTTTATTCATTTGCAGTTTTTTTATTAGTAAAGTTTATGTAAATATAAAAGGAGTTCGGTTTTAGCATTTGTGTTTAAAACCTTTTGCCTGTGCATGTGTGTGTGGGGTAACTTACATGGCCTAAGTTGCTCTTATTTGGGAGAGATGGTGAATTCAGCACACATGGGGATATGAAGTTATGAGGCCACACAAATGTCAACTCATAGAAACTGGGGTTCCTGTTTGGAGCGTTTTGATGCAAGTACCTGGTGTGCCAGAACTTACCTGCTACAGAGAACAGGGAGAACCATCACCAGTGATTAATCTAAACAAGGATGAACAGGTTGCACTTAATAACTTTTGTAGGTGGTTTAAACACGGGCAGTGAACTTAGAATGGCCATCTAGATTACACCGCATCGGGATTTGGAAGTCCCCTTAGAGGTCAGAAAGTACTCTGGTTTTTGTTGTAAAAAATGTAATTCAACTTACCTTCTCGTCACTTCATCTGGTTATTAGGGGGGAAAATAACTTCCTAATTATTTGCCTAAGGATTTAGTTATAAAATTTCCTGCAAGCTTGATGTTGGAACCAGTGATGATGGGTGTGTATGTGAAGCAGTTCAACAGAATGAACAAAAAGAGCAGAGTAGGTTTAGCCCACCTAGGGATGAAGCGCTTTCTTGCCTTTTCTCTAGGTCCTCCTCGCGTGTGTACGTTCTTATTAGCCTCACCGTGCATGTAATTCTGGTAATGTATTGATTTTTTTTTTTTGTGCAGTAAAACCCACACATGTTGCCTGCTGAGTCCTGTGTGCAGGGATAGAGCTCTATCTGACAATATGAGCAATGTAGAGGAAGAAGCCAAACACAGTTCCATGGTGTGCTTTACAGCGGTCTTCTTTGCTTTCTTTCCTCATGAGCAGGGCCATGGGGGGCTGTGTCTGCTCTAACCTGAGTGAACATGGCTGTACAGTCTACTTCTGCTCAAGGTTTAGGGACAGAGCACTGGGTCTCATCTTTATAGTAATCGAATTCCCTTCTTTGTCCCAGGACTCCCTGGGTGCCCCTTTACAGCATAGGGGTCTTGCTGTGGTCGGTCTATTTGCCTTTCCTACCTGGTGTCACTGGTTACCCTTGGCCTTTTTATTTTCTTGGCCCTACAACTTGGGGTCAGAGCATAGTATTTTCTACTTCTCTCCATCTTGTTGTTTGGGAAATACATTATTATTATTATTATTATTATTATTATTATTATTATTATCACTATTATTGTTATTACTATTTTGAGAGGAAGGCAAAACATTTGGTCCATGAAGGTATCTGTAATGGGCTCCAGACAGCCATAAATTTAAAATATGAGATTCAAAAGTTGTGTAGCTTCCTGAACTACATATATATATATATATATATATATATATATATATATATATATATATATATTTACCTCTGAAAAAAAAATGTCTCCCTGCACTTGACTTATTCTGTGTCTAGTTTGTCTGAAGCTTATGTACCATCTGGGGGTGGGTGGGGTGAAGTTCATGGTATTTGCATCTCATTTTGTACAATCTGTGTGCCTGCTGGTATGTGCTCTGACCTAATAAAGCCAGAACACTTCAGACTCCTTTCTCTTGAGAGCACCATCCACGCTAAGGGCTGCCCATACAGTTTTAGTCTGAAAAGGGAATCCAGTAGCTTTTTCATTTCTTTCTAAAGACTCATTCAGGCACCCTCAAGAAGGATGTCAGGACCGTACACCACCATGTGCTTATTTCTAAAATAACAGGTTTTTGTTTGTTTGTTTTTGCAATTGAAAAACCTTAATGTTTCTCAACTTTAACAAGAATAACTTTATTTACCATTGGTGGGGTGCTTAGTTCTTGTGAAGCCCTGAGAAGTATAATAAACACACACACACACACACACACACACACACACACACACACACACACACACACACTTTCTTTGTAGGACTGTAAAAACTCACCTGTAAAATTTGGTGGTTCTGCTACAGGGGTAGATTTTGGATGATGATTTAATATGTACAGTCAATGCCCTATTTGCTCTATCTGTATCTTTTTGAGTCAGTTTTGGTCATTTATATTTTTATGTCATTTGAACTTTTACATTTACTGACAAAAAGACTTTTTCAGAAATCTTAAAGATCTCCAATTGCAATCATGCGCTCCTTTTATTCCTAACGTTTTTATTCTTGCTTTTC